GGGGAAGCGCGGAGGCGCATGAATAATGGAAAGGCTGCGGCGGGAGGGAGGGAGCAGAGCCTGCTCCGGGCTGGGGATGAGCTATGGGGCAGTGGCAATGTCCCCTCTGGCACGCGGGTCCATCCCACCAGGGTGGGGTTTGGTGGGGATGGGATGGGGATGGGAAAGGATGAGGATGGGATAGAGGTGGGGATGGGATGGGGATAGAGGTGGGGATGGGATGGGGATGGGAAAGGATGAGAATGGGATGGGATGGGGATGGGATGGGATGGAGATGAGATGGGATGGGGATGGGATGAGATGGGGATGGGGATGGGAATGAAGATGGAGATGGAGATGGAGATGGAGATGGGAACGAAGATGGGGATGGGATGGGGTGGGGATGGGATGGGGATGGAGATGGGATGGGGATGGAGATGAGATGGGATGGGGATGGAGATGGGATGGGGATGGAGATGGGATGGAGATGGGGATGGAGATGGTGATACGATGGAGATGGAAGGGGATGGGATGGAGATGAGGATGGAGGTGGAAATGGAGGTGGAAATGGAGATGAGGATGGGATTAGAGAGGGGAAGGGAGATGGGGATGGGGATGGAGATGGGATGGGAATGGAGATGGAGATGAGGATGGGATGGGATGGGGATGGGATGGGATGGGGATGGAGATGAGATGGGATGGAGATGGGGATGGGATGGAGATGGAGATGGGATGGGGATGGAGTTGGGATGGGGATGGGGATAGAGATGGGGATGGGATGAGATTAGATGGGGATGGAGATGAGATTAGATGGGGATGGAGATGAGAATGGAGATGGGATGGGATGGGAAGGGATGGGATGGGATGGAGATGGGGATGGGAATGAAGATGGGGATGGAGATGGGATGGGGATGGGATGAGATTAGATGGGGATGGAGATGAGATGGGATGGAGATGATGGGGATGGGGATGATGGGGATGGGATGGAGATGGGATGGAGTTGGGATGGGGATAGATATGGGATGGGGATGGCACGAGATGGAGATGGAGATGGGATGAGATGAGGATGGGGAAGGAATGGAGATGGGACTTCCCCCTGGGACTGGGTCCGGCTGCCCCCACCCCCTTCCCGGGTTGGGTTGGGGGTTGGGTTGGGGGGGGATGTGGGGCTGACTCCCCGTGGGGGGCGGGTGCCCCCAGCCAGCAGAGTGGGCGACTGCAAGCACGGCATGATGAAGTTCCGGGAGGAGAGGAACCTGCTGGGGCTGGGCCTGAGCACCGGCTTCCACGACCGGTACTTCATCCTCAGCCACTCCTGCCTGCGCCTCTACAAGGAAGTGAGGGTGAGTCC